CTGCTGCTAAAAGCCTAAAAGCTTAAAAGCTTAAAAAGCCTCTAGTTCCTGGTCCTCACACCTTATATTCTTTCTGCTTTCTGCCATCACTTCCTGGGATTAAAGGTGTGTCTCACCATGCCTGGCCGTTTCCAGTGTGGTCTTGAACTCTGCTTCTGAAGTGAGAGGATTAAAGGTGTGTGTGCCAGCATTTTCTGGCCTCTATGTCTGTCTAGTGGCTGTTCTGTTCTCTGACCTCCAGATAAGTTTATTGGGGTGCATAATATGTCAGCCACACTAAGGAATAAAATCTCCTGTGGTAGGTTGAGTCTTGGAGGGCCAGGAACCGTTGTAATATCTGACTCTCACTTTCTCCGTGTTTTGTGCCCTGAGAAAACGCTCTGAGAACTTCACATTTTGGGGTAACCAGAGCACCCATGTGCACCTGGCTCTTAGAGTCCCATATAAGCCTCCCTGGTAGCTTTCAGGTAGGCAGTCTTATCCCATCCGTCCTATGGACAGGAAATCTGTTCAGAGACCAGAGATGCTCAGCTCAGTGAGCCGGAGACTACAGGGTTCAAGTCTAGCCTGTCACGCTTGAGTCTCTTACTGGCTGGGCTGTCCTGAAGAGTTCGGAACCAGCCAACTGTCTTTACCATCTTCCTGAAAAGATTCGTGTGTGGGACTGGAGAGAAGGCGCTGTGTTGAACTCTTGACGCTCTTTTGCACAGCACGTGTAGATGAACAGTCTCATTAAATAAGAAACACAGAGCCAATTGCAGAGTTAAAAGCCCACAAGGTCAGAGCAGTAGCTGAGAGCTGAGCTTACCCTTCGCTGCCCAGCGTCCTTCCTCTCAGCAAGAGCGCTACTTCATGTGTATCTGTCTTTTTATAGACTTTCTGTTCTGCCTTCTCATTGGTTGTAAACCCAACCACATGACCTCCTCGTCACTGCCCATCCATACAGACCTCCAGGTCTTCTATGGTTGGTATTGAGATTAAAGGCGTGTGTTTCCAATGCTGGTGGTATCCTTGAACACACAGAGATCTGCCTGTCATGTGATCGGGATTAAAGGTGTGCACCACCACCGCCCGACTTCTGCTATGGCTTGCTATCAGCTCTGACCCCCAGGCAACTTTATTTATTAACATACAAATAAAATCACATTTCAGTACAAATAAAGTATCACAGTAAGTACTGAAGTTGGATTTCCAGCACCTACGCAGGGCAGCTCTCAACCATCTTGAAATGCAGCTCCATGGAGATCTGACGCCCTCTGCTGGTGTTTGAAGGCAGCAGTGTGCATGTGTGCATATACACACAGACACATACATAAAAATAAAATAAAGCTGGGCGGAGGTGGCGCACGCCTTTAATCCCAGCACTTGAGAGGCAGAGACAGGCGGATCTTTGTGAGTTCCAAGCCAGCCTGGGCTACAGAGTGAGTTCCAGGAAAGGCACAAAGCTACACAGAGAGATCCTGTCTCGAAAAAACAAACAAACAAAAATAATAATAATAAAAAAATGAAAAAATAAATCTTTTTAAAAAGTTGCTGTGTAATTTACATGTCATAAGACTTATCTTCTAATGTATACAATTCAGTTAAGTAGTTCCTGATATAGTCCCAGCAGCATTTTACAGTTCTCATCCCTTCCCCACCTCGGAAAGAAACTGTCCCCGCCAGCAGTCACCGGCCCCTCATCCACTGCCATCACTAATCGACGTTCTCACTATGGATTTACCTATTTTGCTCCATTAGTAGGATCATTTATGACCTTTAGTTATTGGCATCTGTGCTGGCTAGTTTTTATGTCAACTTGACACAAGCTGGAGTCATCTGAGAGGAGGGACCCTCAACTGAGAAAATTTCTCCATAAGATCAGGCTGCAGGCAAGTCTGTCGGGCATTTTCTTAGTGATTGGTCGGGGAGGGCTCAGCCCATTGTGGGTGGTGCCATCCCTGGGCTGGTGGTCCTGGGTTTTATAAAAAGAAGGCTGAGCAAGCCATGGAGCGCAAGCCAGTAAGCAGCACCCCTCCATTGCCTCTGCATCAGCTCCTGCCTCCAGGGTCCTGCTCTGCTTGAGTTCCTGCCCTGACTGCTTTCGATGATGAGCTGTGATATGGAAGGGTCAGCCAAGTAAAGCCTTTCATCCTCAGCTTGGTTTTGGTCGTGGTGTTTCGTCACAGCAATAGAAACCCCGACTGAGACAGCATCTTTTAAGATATTCATGATTCACCCGTATTGTAATGTATTAGTACTCAACTCTTTTTTAATGAATGCTTCCTAGTCCATTTATGGATGTACATTTTATTCAGTCATCTATTACAGGATATTTGGGTTATTTTTGGTTTAGGGGATTAGGTATAGTACTGTGAGCATTTATGCACAGGGTGAATGTGTACATGGCATTTGTTTTTAATTCTCTTTGGTACATACTCAAGTGGAATTGTTTGGTCATGTGATAATTCAATATTTAACTCTTTGAAGAACCCTCAGATTCTCTCCTGAAGATGCTGAACCGTTTTGTATCTCTATCAGCAATCTGTCCCCCCCCCCCCCTCCAGCTTGCTAGGCAAGCGCTCTGCCACTGAGCTAAATCCCCAACCCCAGCAATCTGTTCTCATTCCAATTTCTTTTTTAAAATTTTACTTTATTACATTTATTCTCTCTGTGTGTGTACCAGTGTGTGAGTGTATGTGAGTGTACAAATGTGCCGTGGAGCACACACAGGTGGAGGTCAGAGGTCATTGGTTCTCTCTGTCCACGTGTGAGTCCTGGGTTTACAATTCCCACTCATCTTCCACCGGGAGCCCGTGTTCTTACGCTAGCCAGCTCCGTGGGTGCAGAGGTGATCTTCCCCTGTGGTTTGGTTTGCATTTACTTTGTTCCTTGGCCATTTGCATGTTATATTTTTTGAGAAATAATGTATTCAAATTCTACTTTGTTACTTTGAAAGTACAGTGTTTACTTTCTCACTGTGGGTTGTAGGAGTTCGGTGTGATTTGCAAATATCCCCCAGTCTCTGAGTGTTGCCTTTTCACTCTCTTGATAGTGTCCTTTCATGTGCAAAAGGCATTGGGAACTTCCCGCTTATCTTTTTTTAAAATAATTCATTTTAATTTTATTTTATGTGCACTGATGTGAAGGTGTCAGATCCCCAGGAACTGGAGTTACAGACAGTTGTGAGTGGCCATGTGGGTGCTGGGAATTGAACTGGGTCCTCTGGAAGAGCAGCCAGTGCTCTAACCACTGAGCCACCTCTCCAGCCTCTTATTATTATTATTTTTTCTTAAGTTGCCTAGACTTCTAGTGTCATATCTGAGAAACTGTCATTTGATCCTGGGTTCTGACAGTTTGCACGGTTTTCTTCTTTCAAGTTGAGGTCTTTGCCCCAGTTTGGGTAATGGGCTGAGACGGGGATCCATCGTCAGTCTTCTGTGTTTGAATTTCTGGTTATTTCAGCAGTGTATTCTTTTTGTGATTTTCCAGTAGGAAATTTATTCTAAAATCTTATCTCCTCAACGTAGAAATTGGAATTCAGAATTCTGTACCTCCGACTGCGAGCTGGGGGGGGGGGGGCAGTCTGCCCTTGAGGACGTCTTGGGGAGTGAAGGACAGAGGCCGCCGTCTGTGCTCCTGGCTGCCGATTGTTACAACTCGGACTAATTGAGGACTTTAGCCTAAGCTTTACTCCTTTTATAAATCTTCTTCTTATTATTATTATAAAATATTGGTTTTATTACTTTTTTATGTGTATGTGTATCAGACCAGAAGAGGGGTTGTATCGCAGGTGCTGGGAACTGAACTCAGGTCCTTAGAAACAGCGGGAAGTGCTCCTGGGGTGACTCTCCAGCCCCCTGCAGCATCACACTCTTTAATCTCCTTGCCACACAGACCTGAGGGGATGCTATCGTTTTTCCTACTTTACAAAGAGGGCTTGAGAGGGACAGACTCTTGCACAGGGCCAGAGAGCGGCGTGAGTGGAGCTTCCCCAGAGTCCGCAGCCAGGCTTCCGGCTCAACTGGGAATCCGCGGAGACTGTGGGTCTTGCGGCTCCTTTGTGAAGAAGCTGGGGGAAGGCGCTTTCCTCGCCTCACGTGTCTCTCGCCCTCTAGTGGTGGGATCGTGAACTGTCGGTGCTGACTTTCCGGTCACTGTGTTTGACAGTTTGGATTCCTGGAATGTAACAGGGAGCTGCCCTCTGGGAGTCGGGGGTCTGATGTGCCCTCAGGGGATCTCTGCAGCTGGCCCCTGGCTGTACTTGAAAATGGCTGGTGGGCAGGTTTCCTTCTTACATTACAGGGTGTTCAGGAGACTCCTGTCCTGTGCCCGTCACAAAAAGGCAGTCAGGTTTCATGTCTGCAGAATGTCCCTTTCTCCTTCAGTGCCCTAAAGCAGCTGAGACTTGGGCCACCTTATTTATTTCCAAGTCACACTTATTTTTATTTTACTTTTTACATTTAATCTTACGTGTGTGGGTGTTTCACTCTCATGTGTGTCTGTGCCCACGTGGTACCCATGGAGGCCACCTGAAGGCAGTAGATTCGCTGGAACTGGAGTTACAGAGAGTTGTGAGCCACCGTGTGAGTGCGGGGAACGGAACCCAGGCCCTCTGGAAAAGCAGCCAGTGCTCTTAACCATGGACCACCTCCCAGTTCTCTTTTGATTTTTGAGGAAGTGGCTTATGTTGTCTTTGAACTTGAGACCCTCAGTCTCCTCGGTGCCGGTAGTGTGAGAGGCCTGTATCACCACATCTGGTACCACATCTGGCACAAGTCCAGTTACATTAAATGGCAGCTCTGGTTGGTGCTTTGCAATCAGTCACATCGGGATGAGGCTGCCTGAGCCCACGCCTCTGCTCTTGATCAAAGGTGGTATCGATATCTAGTAACTTGCTGGATGCGGTCTATCTGCCTGTAACATGGTGCCGAGGAGCCTGAGGGTAAAGTGTTGTGTCTGGTCATTGTAGATGTGAAAAGTTCCAGCTTCTCTTTCTCCCTCACCTGCTCTGTCCTCAGGTTGTAAAATGGTCGGACTGTTGTTTGCCGTTAGCTTGCCGACCCGGGGATCCCTACCAATTAATTGCTAAAGCAAGCGTGGACAACTTCAGCAAGCTCGGGGTTGCGTTTATGGAGGAGAGGCTCCAGATGGATAATGGACTCATAGCCCAGAAGATTGTTTGTAAGTGACTTTAGAACATGTTTGCACGGGGTGTCCCAGTGATTCGTCAGAGGGCTGTCGTGACTTCCCAATGCCATGACTTAGTTTACTTTCTGTTTTAGCCGACAGGGTTGATCTCACCGTAATGCATGTGGGATTGGGGTGGACAGGAGGCACGTTGTAGTTTGTTGGGTTTCTGATCAGTAGTGTTGACTAATGATCTCTCCCATCCGTGCTCTAGCAGTTCACTTAAAGGACCCCGCTGTGAAGGAAGTCAACGAGGCCTCCACCAAGCAAGTCCAAGCCCTGCCGCCGAACCCAGAACCTTCCCTCGAGGCTGAGCCTGTGCAGGGCATCATGGAGCATGCTGGCCAAGGTGACTCAAGGGCTGCTGGTGAAGGCTCTTCCCTTCGGAGGAGGGGCTGTGCCTCTGGGGGTGAGCCTGCCGCGGATGGCGACCTGGGGCAAAGCTCCGCTGAGCACCATCAGCTCCACCTGTCCAGCTGCCACGAGTGTTTGGAACTTGAGAACAGTACCATCGAGTCAGTGAGGTTTGCATCTGCAGAGGACATTCCAGAACTTCCTTTTGATCACAGCAGTGGTGTGGAGGGTGCTGCGGATGAACTCTGCCCTGAAAGGGGAGGGAGGAGAGTCAACATTTCGGGAAAGGCACCCAATATCCTGCTGTACGTGGGCCCCAGTTCCGAGGAAGCGCTGGGCCGGCTCCAGCAGGTGCGGTCTGTCCTGACCGACTGTGTGGACACGGACAGCTACACTCTCTACCATCTGCTGGAAGACAGTGCTCTCAGGGACCCATGGCCAGACAACTGTCTGCTCTTGGTTATTGCCACCAGGGAATCTATCCCCGAAGACATACACCAGAAGTTCATGGCCTATCTCTCTCAGGGCGGGAAGGTGCTGGGCCTGTCTTCCTCTTTCACGTTTGGTGGATTTCAGGTGACAAGCAGGGACATGCTACAGAACACAGCCCAGAACTTGGTTTTCTCAAAGGCTGATGGGAGTGAGGTACGGCTCAGTGTCCTGAGCAGCGGCTGTGTTTTTGAGGAAGGCCTCAACCAAGGCAAACTCCGGGGCCACCTAGAGAATCCGGACAAGGACAGGATGATTGTGCACGTGCCTTTTGGAAGCCGAGGAGGGGAGGCCGTTCTCTGCCAGGTATGGGGGTGGTGTTGATGTAATGGTGGTATGGGGTACGGTGCTTTAGGGTGTTTGGTACAGAATGTGCTCTTTAAGGCTTGACATCGAGAAGTCCAGCTGGGACAACAGCTCAGCAGTGAAGTGTGTGCCTTAAAATTGTGCATGAGGACCCAAGTTTGATTCCCCAGAACCCACAGGAAAAGAGCCAGGCATGGTGGTGTGTGTCTGTAATCCACGTGCTGGGGAGGTGGAGACAGGTGGATCCCTGGGGCTTGCTGGACAGTCCCTATGCCTTCTGTGGTCAGTTCCAGGCCAGTGAGTAGGCAGCACTGAGGAAAAGCAGCTGAGATTGTCCTGTGACCTCCACCCGTAAGCTTATATGTTCTTGTGTACATGCACAGACACAGACACCACACACACAGACCACACATACACACACATACCACATACACACTACACACAGACCACACACACACACACACACACACACACACACACAAACACACCACACATGCACACACCACACACCACACACACACACACACACACACACACACACACACACACACTCCATATACCCCACACACACCCCACAGCACATACACACCACACACACACACCACATACACACCACACACACACACCACACATAGCATACACACAAACACCACACACACAACACACATACATACCACACACGCACACACACACACATACACATATATGCCACACACCACACACACACCACACACACACACACACCACACACCACACACACACACCACATATACACTACACACACACCATACACCACATACCACACACACCACATACACACCACACACACACACACACACATCCATCACACACACACACCATACACACACACACACCACACACACACACCACATACACACTACAAACACACCACACACCACATACCACACACACATACCACACACACCACATACCACACACACATACCACACACACACACACACACACACACACACACACTCCATACAACACCCCCCCCCACGCACACACGAACTCAGTGCCAGTGGTTAGTTGCACTAGTGGTACTCTTGGCTGAGTTTCTGCTGTGTGTAGAAGTTTCTGGTGTGAGGAAGGCTTAGCTGAGGGCTCTGGTGAATACCCCGATCAACCAGATTGCATGTGATTGAGGAACTAAGGCAGGCGGCAAGGTTAGCCAAACCTTCAGGTTAACCAAGGACAAGCCAGAAAGTTCTTCCTAATTTTAATCATTATTGGTAGCCGTCTTCCTAAAATATGATTTATTTCTTGCCTCAAAGCACATCCTGGTTAATGTCATCAAGTTCTTGTTTAATTCGGGAGGTTCAGAGGGTAGGAGGGACTCCAGACCGGCACCTGTCACACTAAAGTGATGCTCTTGGTTATGCGCGTGCTTCGTGTTGGACAGATCTTCACAGTCTCTGATCTTTCCTTATGACTTGTTAACATTTAAAACCCGAATACTTAGGGCTGGAGAGATGGCTCAGTGGTTAAGAGCACTGGCTACTCTTCCAGAGGTCCTGGGTTCAATTCCCAGCACCCGCATGGCAGCTCACAGCTGTCTGTAACTCCAGTTCTGGGAGATTAGCCTCTGTCTTCTGGTCTCCACGGGCACTGTGGCACAAATACAGGCCCACAAATATTCATACAGATGTAACAAATCTCTGTGTCTCTCTCTCTGCACACGTCACGGTTCTTGTGTGGCGGCCAGAGGCCTGCTGTGGACACAGTCCTTGCTTTCTACCTTGTGTGACAGATTCTCTTGTTCCTTCCTGTGTATGCCAGGCTGTCTGGGCCACAGGCTTCCAGGGACAGTCCCGTCTCTGTCTCTATAGGAGTAGGGATCAGAGAGGCTGAATCTGGCTTTATGTGGGTTCCAAACGCAGGTCCTGACACTTACATGGCCAGCACTCACCCCAGCTCCCCAACTCTCCTTTCTTTGTGCTGGAGTCTATTGTTTGTTAAGCTGATGCTCAGGCAGAAATGCTCAAAACGCACAGGGACAGGCGTTCACACAGAGTCAGCAGGTTTCCTGTGAGGCTGCGGACCACATGGGTTAGTTAAATGCTCCTCTTATCTCTCCCTCTGCAAATATGGTCACTATAGTAACCATGCATTCTCAAAAAATTCGCTTGAAAACCCCACTTCCTGGAGCCATATTTCAGTTTTGAAGAGTTTTTTTTCTGTACACAGACTTGCACTAGAAAATTGATTCGGCACGTCGCAACCCATTTCTCTGAGTTCACAGCACATCTGTCTGCTGCGCCGTTTAAGTCGACCCCAATACTATCATAAAATTCGATACTGTAGTATGTTACCATAGGAAGAAAAAAAGGGCAATATGATGCAGGTTCATAAGTCAGAGTCAGGGGATTAGAATGTCACTTGGGGTTCTAAATGACTTCCAGTCTCCTGTGTGGCAGGGTCACTGTTTCCTCCTCCGGCCCACTGCTGTCCTGCCTCACTGGAACGAGCCAGTGAGTACTGTCACAGGCTGCAGCGCAGGCTCCTCATTCTCTGCTCCGTTTCATAGCCTTCCTCTCTGTAGTAAATCTAGTAATGATGTCACCCGGGAGGAGAAGGCCAAGTGCGTCAAGGGCAGCGCGCACAGCTGCTCACCGGGTGGGGCCGTCCCTCCCTTGCATTCCCAGTAACGAGGAGAGGGGCTGGTGGTGCGCATACCCACCGTGCTGGGGAGACGTTAAACCAAGAGTTAAGGCGGACACTCGATTATCAAATGGATCCAGGTTTTGGCATGAAGTTGCCCAGACACAGCTTGAAATTGGATTTGAAAAGATCTCACTTGCTTATGCAGCTTAGCCGAGGGAAGAGGCTTCACAGCAGAGTTTCTCCGCTGCGGCCCCATGAACGTTTTGGGTCAGGTCAGTCTTTGTGGTGAGGTGTGGTCCTTGTAGACAACAGGCACTTAGCAACCTTCCTGTCTCTGCCCACTGGATGCCAGCCACCTGTCTCTGCATTTGACGCCAGAGACATTTTTACTTAAGACTTTCAGTCCAGTTGAGAAGCCTTGGCTTAGAAGGGGCCAGGTCAAGGGTGTAGACCGGTCAACGTTGCCAGCCAGTGCCTGTGACTTGCGTCAGGGCTACAGGCCCACATCCACAGCATCAGGTGTGCTGTTCGGCCGCTCATCAGTTGAAAGGGCAGCACCCAGGGTCTCATGCATGCTACGCAAGCACTGTCCTCTGAGCTGCCTCCACAGCGAGTAAAGTGTTTCCCCAACTTTAACAGTGGCCTTTTTGGGCCTGGGGGCCTGTTGCAGCTTGATGGAAACCCTTCCTCTGTGCACCCTCCTCGTGTGCAAATCAGCTTGCACACTTCCCTGCACAAGTTCCTCGTGTCCTTACCATCCAGTGCGACTGCGTGCACTCAGCCTTGCTCTTGCCTCGCTCCCTTGAGCTCCTGTAGGAACATAACTGGTGCTCGTTTTATTGGTGCCACCTGGAGAGGTTCGCCCAGAGGGCAGCCATGTACTCAGAGGGACGAAGTGGGCCATTGACTAGGATTGGACCCTCACAGGGACCCCTTTCTTCTCTGTCTCTCTGTCTGGGGGACAGGCCCACCTGTTGTCAACGGACCACCTGGCCACTGTCCTCTAGCTGTTCAGATTGGCCCCAGAGTTCGGCATTTGCCCCATTTTGGACAATGTGTTTGCTCTGGTCACAGCTTAGGTGAGGATTGAGTGGTGGCACCATGCTGTTGGAGCCTTGCAGTGTTCCGGTTGGAAAATCAGTAGAGAAAACCAAAATAAAACCGGGCATGGGGGTGCCTCGCTATTGCCGAATGTTCTGGCACCTGTAGACTCTGACATGCAGTTAAAATCCGCTTTCACGGGAGCTAGAAGTTCCAGTGTGGTCCTTCATCCTGCCAGGGATGCTGTTGGCGATGTTTGTATGTTTATAACCTTGGTGTGGCTTCCAGCGTGCATCCTAAATATCTTAAATCACACTTTAACACCTGGACTGCATGTAGGAAGACCTCAATTTTAGAATCCAGTCAGGTGCAGGGGGCGTCAGGAAGGCCTCTCTGTTGTCTGGGAAGTCCACTCTATCCACCCAAAGTCCTGAACACAGTCTCCGAGTGAAGACTATGCTTCTCTCCTCTGCTGACTGCAAGGCAGAGTGGAAGTTCCCAGCCTGACCCGTCGTGCCTCCCTAGGTTGGGTGATGTGATCGGTTGGATTCTCAGCATAATTATGTTTCCAGATGTTTTAGTCCAGGTTGAGTGACCTTCCCAAGGACCTGCAGTTGACTGAGGACAAAAGTCAGGTCCTGGAAAGAATCCGTGACCACCCAGGCATGGGTTCCACCGTGACTTTTGAGCTGGGAAGCCATGGTTTTAAGAGGCTCACTCGAATCCTCGTATTCTCGTTTCTTGGTGTCCCCCTCCGGATGGTCGTGTTCAGATTTTCATCAGACCTGGTGCGGAAGCCGCTTCTCTGACGCGGGTGCCCACAGTTTACCTGTGGTTGTCTTTTCTTCAGGTGTACCTAGAGCTCCCTCCAAGCGCTTCCGTGGTGCAAACCCAAGAAGACTTTAACGTGCTGAAGTCCAGCAACATGAGAAGGCATGAAGTCCTCAAGGAGATCCTGACCACCCTCGGCCTGAGCTGTGATGTCCGGCAGGTTCCCGCCTTAACACCCCTGTACTTGCTGCTGGCCACCGAGGTGAGTGTGGGCTCAGTGGGAACTCTTATGCTTCCAGTGGCCTCACCTCCAAACTGTGACTCCTTTCCTTAATGTCAGGACCGTTTTCTGCCTTGATTTCTATTTTGACTTTGGGTTTGGAAACCATAATAATAGTATGTCATATTATTTAATATTATTCATTTGGGTGTGTGTGTGTGTGTAAGGAAAGTAGAAGTGACTGGAGTTAGGAGGTGTGGAGTCTGGTTTGTGATCCTTTTATAGGGAAGTGGAGCTATTGTTGTTTGTTTTTGCTCTTTTGGGGGGCCTGCCACCGAGCTCCCAGATAAATCACGGAGGTTTTTTCTTAATTATGAATGTCCGGCCTTAGCTTGGCTTGTTTCTAGCCAGCTTTCCTTAAATTATCCCATCTACCCTTTGCCTCTGGGCTTTTCCTGTTCTCTTACTTCTGTATCTTACTCTTACTTCGTGGCCTGCTGGGTGGCTGGGTGGCTGGGTGGCTGGGTGGCTGTGTGGCTGGGTGGCTGGGTGGCTGGGTGGCTGGGTGGCTGGGTGGCTGGCCCCTGGAGTCCTCCTCCTCCTCTGGCTACCTCTTTGATCTCGCTTCCCAGTTTTCTCCTCCTATTTATTCTCTCTGCCTGCCAGCCCCGCCTATCCTTTCTCCTGCCTCGCCATTGGCCGTTCAGCTCTTTATTAGACCATCAGGTGTTTGAGAAAGGCACAGTATCACAGCTTCACAGAGTTACACAAATGCAACATAAACAAAAGTAATACTCCTTAAAGTAATATCCTACTACATGGAGCTCTGTCTTATATGTCAAAAGCATAGATGCTGCTCCACACTGGAGCGTCTATGTCTGTGGATGCAGCCAACCGTAGATTCAATATTTGAAAGAAACGTCAAGATCCTGTACTGGGCCAGGGAAATGGCTCACTGCGTAAAGAGCAAGTGTGAGGACCTGAGTTTGAGTTCCCAAGAGCCTGTGTGAAGCTGGATGGGTAGTGTGCTCCTGTGTGCCGTGAGCAGAGGTGGGGAATCCCAAAGCTCCTAGGCCAGCGAGCCTGGCCTGCATGGTGATAAATGGAAGAGACCCTGTCTTCAACACGGTGGAAGGAAAGGGCTGAAGAGTGACGCCCAAGGCTGTCCTCTGACTTCCACGTGTGCCATGGCGCGTGCTCACCCTTTCTTGTATGAACACACACAGACATATTCATACATAGCACCTCATACACATACAGCACACATATACACACACACAGCCGTTCAAACACATCACACACGTATACAGCTAACACCAGTCCTGCCCACCTGCAGACTTTTTCCTGTCGTTACCTGAACAATACACAGTACAGTGTAACAGCTGTTCACAGCGTTGGCAATGTTTTAGGTGGTTCAAGTCTTCTGGGGGATGTGCATAGGCAAACCACAGGCAAATGCTGTGCTGCTCTGTATGACGGAGACTCTGGCATTTGGTGTCTTTGGGAGGGAGTGCAGGAATCAGGCCCCTGTGCCTCCTGATGGGTAACTGTTTTGGAATCGGCAGTCAGCTGGGATCAAAACCAGTTGTTCTGATCAGGGGGTTTTCTCAGCAAGCCTCGGAGTGGGAAGATCACAGCCTCTGTTTGCTGTGTGCCGATGTCTGCTATCTTGTGGCAAGAAGGCTTTGGGTTTCGTGTCTGTCATTCATGTCTAAAAGTAAAATGGAAATGTTGGGAATGTGTTTGGGAGTCTGCCTCAGGCCTGCACTCACTGCTGGACCATGAAGGATACCGGATTTTGGGCAGGCTGCCAGGTTCTCCAGGTGTGTGTTCTTACTAATCCCTTCATGGTGACATGCTGTCAGTTTCTTATTCACTGTGACACATGATTTTGTGGCGCTCTTCCTGTTGTCAGCCACTAACAGGCCAGTCTGTGGCGTTAGTGATGTCAACACACAGGAAAGCAGTGGTGGTCAGGGCCTCCATGCACCAAACCCACCTGTTCCACCTGAAAAGAACAAAATACACCCTTCACGCCCGGCCGGCCGCACTGTGAGAAGGGGAGGGGCTGTCTCTCACGGTGGCCTCTGTCCCCGGGCAGGCTCAGTTTGTGGAGGAGAGCAGAGTTGTACATGGTGTGGCTGCTGCATACCGACTCACAGGAACAGATGCAGAGCCTGAAGGTTGAGTGAGGGCTGGAGGAGAAAGTGTTTGGGAGAGTTGTGTGAACACCGCACAGTTTAAATGATAATGCAGTGATGACTGGGTTGTTGAGAGGTTGAATGGGTTTGAAAACAGGTGTGCTTAACAAGTTCCCGGTACCTCCTCTAAGAAGACTGAAGGTAATGCTTTTAATTAAAAAATTAACATCAACACAGGATGATCTTTCTCATTAAAAAACATTCTTTTATTACATTTTCATTACCTAATTTCTAGCTAGTTTATTTATTTATTTCAGACAAGTTTTCACTATCCCACACTGGCCTGGAGCACACCATGCAACAGAGGCCGCCCTTAAACTTGCCGTGATCCCCCTGCCTCAGCATCCTGAGTGCTAGGATTACAGATAGGTGCCACCAAGACAAGCTCTACCGTTTGCACTGTTTCCGATGTGCATTCCTGGGCGTTAGTCACGTGACTTCCGTTTGTGCCTTCATCTTAGGAATTCCCACACCAGCCCCTTTCACTATTTTCTCTTCAGTTCATCGGACAAAACTCATCACTGACTTACGGCATAAAAACACCAGTAAAGCCAATCCTCGGGGCTTCAGGCCCTTAGGACACACACGGTGGAGGAGGTGCCCAGGGCCGCATGGGCCGGGGTTATTCTGTCTTTAGTGGAGTGTGACTGAGCCTCCTAGGCCGTTTCTGTACTTCTTTCCAGAACATCGAGGGTTGTAGCTGGAGATGAAATCGAGTGTGTGAGTGTGGAGGCTCCCAGCCCAGGGTCAGAGGGCAGCGTCGAGTGGCCTCCTTGTCCTTTTCCAAGTCCTGACTGTGGGGTCTTGGGACTTAGGCCTATTGGCTCTGGCAGAGAAATGAAGAGGAAAAGTGGCCTCTGGTTACTTTCTGGGGAACAGGTTCTGGAGCACTGTGGTTCAGGCCTATTCTTTAGAACATGTACAGCTGAAATATCTAAACTGAGGTTTGTGTCACAGGAACATAGGAGAGAGATTGGCATTTAGTTTTTCAGTTCTTGGACTGGGGACAAACATGGCAGTTGGACTGGAACAAACTTGAACAGTGGACAGACTTTGTTTTTTTTTTTTAAAGATTTATTTATTTGTTTGTTTGTTTATGGATATGAGTGCTCTATCTATATGTATGCCTTTATGCCAGAAGAGCGCATCAGACCCCACTAGAGATGGTTGTGAGCTACCATGTGGTGGCTGGGAATTGAACCCAGGTTCTCTGGAAGTGCAGCCAGTGCTCGTAACTACTGAGCCATCTTTCCAGCCTGGACAAACTCTTGATACACAAGCACTAGGTGGTCCAGAGTTGGCACCCCCAGCCCACATAAAAAGCTGGGCGGGTATAGCAGCCCAGCTGGTGATTGCAGCCTGTGGGGAGTGGAGACAGGACCTCCCCGGGCAAGCTGACAGTTAGACAGGCCAAATTGTCCAGCTCCAGGCTCAGCAAGAGACCCTGCTGTAGATGTAACCAACGGTCTTATAAAATAAGAAACACAGAGCCAATTCAGAGAAGAAAGCCAAGAGGTCAGAGCTAAGAGCCTCACCCTTCCTGATTCAGGGATCCTCTCCAGCCAAGAGAGCTCTCCGAAAGGGACCTACTTCCTGTGTGTCTGTCCTTAAAGTCTTCCTGTTCTGCCTTGTCATTGGTTGTAAACCCAAACATGTGACTGCCTCGTCACTGCCTGAATGTACCGCCCTCCAGGTCCTTAAAGGTGTGCGCCACCGACGCCATGCACTTGCTATGACTCTAATAGCTCTGACCCCCAGACAACTTTATTTATTAACATACAATTAAAATCACATTTCAGTACAAGTAAAATACCACCACATTTCCCCTTTTCTATTTTAATAAAAAGGAAAAAAAAGAAAAAGGTTATAACTAACAAAAGAAAAACTATATACAAAAGTACAATGACTATATACAATATATACAAGTAATAAATGTCTAAACAATGTCTAGTCCATTTGTATTTGACAAATTCAGAGAAAATAATTTCATTATCTATCCTATTTTGTTAAGTCCAAAATGTATCTAATTCACTTTCTATCCTAATTAATCTTCAACTATAACTAACTAACCTTCAACTATAACTAACTAATCTTCAACTCCCTCAGAGACCCAAGAAGGAAATAATATTAGCTAACAAAAATAAAAACAGAAAGTGCATGCAAGCAACTTCCAAAAAATTTGTGAGTTGACAGAAACAGCCAGCTGCCTGGACAGTCACCTGAGGTTTCTCCACAGTGTTGGGGCATCATCTTCAGCCTATAGGCTTAGCATATCTGACAGACTCATTTGTGAAGTAGGATGTACACAAGGTCGACAGTTCAACCTCACATTGGGTGAGAGCAGTCCATGTACCAGAAACACCTGAATTCCACTAGTGTCATGTCATGATTCAGGATTTTAAATTCTGGAAATTGTTGTTGATTTTTTAATTCAGCTGTCCATTCTTGGCTGTGTATATATGGCTTCATCTTAGCATCCCGTTCTTCTCCACATCCCTCTGTCAAATGCCAGTTTACTATTGCGAGGCGTGAGCTTAGTTACTCTTCAAGAATAACTGTTTCAGCTGCTGTTCCATTGCACATCAGAAGCCATCGGCCCACTGCCTATTCAGCTGCCTTCGAAGAAAAGGGCACTGTACCTTTTCCAAATTGCGAAGGCCACTTCAGGGATGGTGCCATATTGTCCTGGCCTCAGAAGATGCCTTTTGATAAAGCCATAACCACACTCGTTTTGGCAAGAATCAGTAGTCCTTTGTTTCATGTCCTGTCTGTCCATTTTGTCAGCAGTTGATTCAAGGATACTTTGTTGTCCAGTGGCTAACTTTTGCCACAATGAAAGTT